GGGAAGGGGCGTCAGTACCTTCGAGGGAGGCCGCGGGGCTGGTGGCCCCCGGCCGGGCAGGCGCCTCCCATGGGGAGCAGCCACAGGCCCACTTCACACCGTCACGTACTCCTTGAAGGTCACGGTCAGGCAGTTTGCGGTCACGTCTGTGATAATTATATTCCCAAAGAAGGGCTTGAATTCCTGCAGGGACTCGGCCTCCTCCTCCTCCTCCTCCTCCGCGGCCTCCTGGGGCTGCGGAGGCTCCGCGGCCGGCTTCTCCACCGGCACCAGCGGCGCCTCCGGCTTCACCTGCGCCACGGCCAGCTCGCCCTCCGCCCGAGGCTTCACGCAGCGCAAGTCTATGGGCTCGTCCAGGTCCGAATCCAGCAGGATGACCTCCGGCTGGGCAGCGGCTGGGGCAGGGGCCTCGGGCCTCTCCGGGACGGGGGGGCTGAGGCATGTGGGGGCACTGATGCTCCGGGAGGTGAGGCGCTTCTTGCCCGGCTCCCTGTCCCCGTGCGGCTCTGACAGGCAGCGCTTCCGGGAGCCCGGGCTGGAGAGGTTCAGTCCCATGGAAGAAGGGCTGTGCTCACGTGCAGGATTCAGGGACCAGGGCACAAGGTCTGGCTTGGTGGTGAGCTGCAGGGGCTGCTCTGGGGGAGGAAGAGGCAGCTGCTTGGCCAGGGGAGTCTTTCTGGGATTTTCCTCGAGCTCTGCAGAGGGCTGCCTCCCCTCACCCTCTGCTTTGCTCAGAGGGTTGCTGCCCACCACCCTTTCCTCCCCTGGCTTCCTCCAAGCCTCCAGCTTCTCTTCCCCACCCTTCTTAGGAGTCCTCTCCTCCGCAGCCCGCTTCCGGGGTGGCTCCCCAGACTTGATCTTTACAGCCTGCATCCCGTTCTCCATGTACTTGCTCATGACGATTACAATGCGCCCGTTCTTGTTTTTGTTCTTGACAATCTTCATCTTGCCCCCAAGACCGTTGCTGGTCACCCTGTCCCGAGGGGGTGGCCCAGTACCACTTGACAGGTTCTTCTCAGCCCCATTCTTGCTCTCTGCAGACAGGTTCTTGACTGGGCCCAGCAAGCTTTTGGTGGGGCCATGAGCCCACTTGTCTGGGTGGGCAACCAGGGGGCTCTTGTTACTGTCTAAGCATGCCTGGCTCTGCGGCTCCTTGCTAGCGGGCTGGTAGTGGGGCTCGTACATCTTGGGGTCTGGCTGGTAGTGGTGGTGCTTCTTGCTGTTCAGCTGGTAGTAATACTTCCCTTTGCTGTGGGACTGGTGCTTCATACTGCTCTCCTTGCCATTGGGCTGGTACTGGTGGTGCTTCTTGCTGTTGAGTTCATACTGGTGCTGCTGGGTCTTGCCAGAGGAGCTGAGGTCTAGCTTTGGCCTGTTGTCCACAGCAGGGTCCTGCAGCCCCGTGAGGATGTTCGAGCGGCGGGCAAAGGAGGGAAGCTGCAACACAAAGCCAGGGGCTGAGGTTAGCCAGGGCCTCTGAACAAGGCAGTGGTGCTCCTGCAGGTGCTAAACACTGTTGTAGAATAGCTGCCCTTCTAGTAGCTCTCTTTTCGAGACGCTCCATTATGGGACACTGTGTACTTTAGCAGACAGACAGCCCTGGCACACTCACACTTGCAGGCTGTGCATTGCTCCAGCTTAATGAAGCAATAAAAAGAAGAAAAGCACCCTTCAGTCAGCTGTCTGGGAACATGGACCCAACACAGGACCACTGCTGCAGAGTTGCTTGCAGGTGGCCTGTCAGCCCCATTTGCAGTCCCTGGGTGAGCAGGAACCTGGGTGCAGTGGGCCTGCATTGCAGCTGGGGGAGGGAGTAAAACAATACCGGCCACTCCTGGGGCTGGGACCAGCTGATGAGCTCAGAGCTGGGGAGCAGGGGTCCCCAAGGCCTTGGAAAGCCCAGGGCTCTGCGCACAGCTCCTCAGCATGATGAAACCCACTGAAAGAGGCTCTCTGGGGACAAGGCTGCACCGCAACCAGGCTGTGCAGCAGATGTGGGGCACCAGGCCCCACCATGCGTTTACCTGCACGACGAGCGGCTTCGGCTTAGGCCCCCGCTTGCGGTATCCCATCAGCTGCTCTTGCCGCTCCCTGCGGAAACACAGTCACGGTGAGCCCCGTGCAGGAGCATGCAGCACCACGGACCCCTGTGCCGAGTGGCGCCTGGAGCCCCAGGGTGTGCACCTCTGAGTGCCCCATGCACTGCGGCCCCTGAGATGCTAATGACCCCCTATGGGAGCAAGGAGCTGGAACAGTCAGTGCAAAGGAGGTAGTGGGACCGGGGGCTGGGGAGCCGGGGCTAGCGGGGCTGCCCGCAGGTGCAGAGCCAGCGCTGGGGCAGTGGGTCCTGCAGAAGGTGTGCAGGGCTCGGGCACGACCAGCCTGCGAAGGCAGGATGCACCTCACCAGGCACAGAGGGAGGTGACTTCCCCACTCTCGCCTCCTGCTGCTGCAGTGAGGGGCTAAAGTTTACAGTTTGCGCCAAAATACTACAGGAAATAAATGCACGGAAAGAAAAAAAAAGAAAAAAAAAAGCCAGTTCAAGCGCAGCAGCAGCAGCAGCAGCGCCGCCTCCTTCACTCGCAGGCATCAAATCCCCGGCCAGGCTGG